CGAGCCAGACAACGGGCAGACCCGATTGGGGGGGGAAGGGAACGGGGGAACAATAACAAAGAATGCAAGCAACGGAGAAAGAAAAAAAAAACGGGTCGTGAAACTTGAGTGTCGTGAACATCGTGGGTTCGAAAGAAGACCGCCGTCTGTCGATGTGCTACCGCGCTCTTCCCTTGCAAGGATAGACCGCGCAACATAAAACACACACATGCATATCACGTGAACTTTTCTTCGTTTGCTACCGTTTCTGTCCTTCATCCTGAGAGCAGCGTAGACTCCCCCATGACGCCCCCTCACGGGGTCCCAGACCATGGGCCTTTGGATGCATGGTCTGTTCTCAGCCGTACATGTGAAATTGCACCAGCCCACCCATCCTCACGCCGTCCGCTGTCACCACCACCACCACCAACGACAACAAACCGGAGCACGTCCCACGTTCTCGGCAACCCTCACCAACCTCCCCCCCCCTCTATCGTTCAGATCACGAAAACCAGAACTCCCTCCACCACCAACACCAGTAAATGAACTCCTCAGCCTTACCTTGTCGATCGGCAGCGGCTCCGGGTGGTCTGACGTGACCTTGCTCCAGACGACGCTGGCCCCCTTCTTCACCGACCCCAACAGCCGCGTGGCCCCCTCTCTCCTCGACCTCTTCTCGCTCTCGGTTAGGCTGTCCCCTCCGTCGCTGCGAAGGCTACAGCTGCAGGCCGACTGTAATCGTCGCGGTGGGAATAGCCAGGCAGGCGGCGGCCCGAGATCAAGCGAACATACACATACACACACACACACACACACACATTGGTCAGCCGGTTAGCGCGATCGATGCTGACAATAAAAAAACACACACCAGACACATACGCAGGGAGAGGAACCCTTCTGTGTGACTACGGGTTGAATTACACGGCAAGCGCTGATTTGAAGTTTCAAGACAAGAAAAAAAAAACATGCACAAGAAGGAGGAACACAAAGAAACGTACAAACAACAGGAGGGCGGCCAACAAGGAACGGCGGGATAAAAAAGATCGGCATTCGCCTGCGCCCTTGTTCAATGAACGCCTTTTCAAATCATGCCAGCCAGCTTGGACGAAAACAAAAAAAAAAGGTCGCTGATGCCCCTGGCGTTCGACAGACAACGAGAGAGGAGGGGAAAATAACACCCTAACGCGGACGTGTGGTAGGATTGTTCTCTACGATCACATCGCCGTATCCAGGAGCGGTGTTATCCAGGGCGGGCGGCATCGTATGCAACCTTACGGTAGATACTCGAGCAACAGAGAGGCACAGAAGGGCAGGGACAAAAGCGATACGCCCGGAGTAGGCCGGGACCTGAGGCACTTACAAAATGAAATAAAAAAAATTAAAGAAGACAAAAAAACAAGACGAAAAAAGCAGGCGCTCACGCTTCGGCTGCTGCTGTCGAGGTCCGCCGGGCCTCGTGCTTTCTCCTCTTCGCCGCCGTCAGCCCCCCTATCAAAACCACACAAACACACACACACATCGACGACGACAACGAGCATGGAAAAAATAAAAACATTACATACAAAAAACAGCGTCACACCAGCAAAAAACAGGCAAAGTTCTTCGACGCGACGACAACGTGGCCGCGCTTTTTGCTCTGTAGCAATACGTAAAAAAAATGGTTACCGCACCTGTAACCCCTCCCTGCACCATGTACCGTGGAAGATGGGCCACTGCAGCAAGACTCGGCGGTAAAAACCGCTTGGTACCTAACGACGCCTACTTACAGACCGTCGTTAAGAAAAACAAAAGACCGCAAGAATCGCGCCTCAAACAAACGAAGCAACACACATGACACGGTGGGGTGGGCAAGAGCCGGCCACCGGAAAAGCAGCAAAAACACACGGGTTTGAACGAGCACGGTCGCAAACAAAGAAACACTCAGCGTTCACAGACATTCCACACGAGGCCAGACATAGCCATCCACTTTTGTCGATTTCCCGTCTCTCACATGCCAGTAGTAGCGCCTCTCTTTCTCGATCCCGTCATCGGCTTTCCAAGCCGCCATCCCCCCAGCTTCCGCCCCGCCATACTCTTCTCCCGCCCCCGGCGCCGCCCGAAGTCCTCGCTGTCTCCCCTGTTGGCCCTGATGGTGTCCTCGGGGCTGCTGGCTTCCGCCGTGAGCGACCGGGTTCTCCCATAGCCCGAGGCATCGTCACGACCGCCGCCGCCGCCGCCGCCGTCGTCGAACCTGGAGTACCCGGTGATGCCGCCGTTGCCGTCATCATGATCGTGGTCGTCGTCGCGACCGCCGCCGCCGCCGCCGCGATGCGTTGGGGCCGCCTCCCGAGTGGAGCGGGTCGTGCGCCGAGCCCCACCGTCGTCGCACTCCTCCGACTTCCTCTCGCTCCCGCTCGACCTCTCCTTGCCCGTACCGGCGGCGGCTGGGACGGCTGGGGCTGGGGCGGCGGCGGCGGCGGCGGCACCTCCTACGGTAGACGACGGAGCCGCCACCCCCCCCTCGCC